TTCTTAAAGAATATTATGGTCAACTGTATCAAATGCAGCACTAAGATCCAACAGGACGAGCACAGATACATGTCCATTATCTGAGGCCATGAGAATATCATTAGTGACTTTCACCAGAGCTGTTTCAGTGCTATGAGGAGCTCTAAAGCTAGACTGAAAAGCTCATTATTGTGTCAGTGGTTGCACACTTGTTTGGCAACTACTTTCTCAAGAATTTCAGTTAAGAAAGGAAGGTTGGATATAGGTCAATAATTGACCAAGTCATCTGGGTCAAGAGACGGTTTCTTAGTAAAAGTTTATTTACAGCAACCTTAAAAGCCTTTGGTACATATCCCTGTAACAGAGATAGATTAATCACATCTAAAATGGAGGAGAAGATCAAAGGAAATACCTCCTTAAGTAACCTGGTTGGAACTGGATCTAACATACAAGCTGAAGGCTTAGATGGAGACAATAGTAAAACATAGTGGACAAACACAAGCTGATTATATTTCTCCAAGCTCATCACTGGTTATAAACACTTTATTCCGGGTGAAATTAGTTTCTATTTCTCTTCACTCTTCTTTACACTTGGACCTTAAATTGCAAATGAAAAGGAGCTCTCCCTCTACACATTTTCATTCCATTCACCTTTTCATTTAAATGCTCTCGTACGTAATTTTATGAGCATCCAGCTTCTTTGACAAGAGCCTTTTGTGGCTACTCCTCTTTTGGACGGTGTTTGTGATCGTTTCCTGGGCATCTATCCAGTCAAAAGGGTTCCCATAATGATTTTCAGCCACAGCAGAACATTTCTGTAAATATACATTTTTTTTCTGTATTGAAAAACCAAAAGATTTCATTTTGTAGATAAGAAATGTGTCATATCTGTTATTATTTTATATATTACACACATTTCCTTGGGGTTTAGTATTGTACTTTTGAATTTGACTTGAACTATTATTACTTTTAAAAATAAAATATTTAGCGGTTGATCTGTTAAACCCAATAAACCATTACTAGCCTAATTTCATGTTTACCTCGCAAGAGAGGGCTAAAAAAAGGAGGAGTGCGGACATCAGTCAACTGGTTTTCTTCCTTTCTTGTGCTGCAGCTATGTACAGAGTGCCTGCAAACTCTTTAAGGCGGCAGAGGAATGTCGTCTTGACAGGGATGAGGAGAAGGCTTATGTGCTCTACATGAAGTATTTAACGGTTTATGACATCATAAAGAAAAGGCCAGACTTCAGGCAGCAGTCGGTATGATGATACCATTTATGTAAAGTGAGTCATTTCATAAAAGTGATGTTTTGTAAAGTGATGTTTTGTTTTTATTTTTCAAATCTGAATTGTTTAGGATTATTTCATGACGATGCTCGGAGCAAATAGCTTTAAGAAAGCCATTGAAGAAGCTGAGAAGCTGTCTGAAAGCCTTAAACTCAGGTTAGATGCTTTACTCTTCTTGGTTGATGTGTAATAAAGTCATAAATATAATTTAAAATGGATATTTATGAATTTTAATGTTTTATTTTTGATCAAGTCTCCTGACTTTAATATTTTAAATAGGTACGAGGAAGTTGAGGTGCGGAAGAGACTTGAGGAAAAGGAGAGGTTAGAGGAGAAGAAGAAAAAGGAGGAAGTGAAAGAGAAAGACAGTCGAAACTCTCCAAAGGCCTCAACAATTAGCAAAAAGGACAGCAAAAAGGTAGACTTATCATTTAAACAACATTTTACACATTTTAAAAAATCACACATCTGAAATGAAATGTGTTTTTAAAACCTTCTAATTTGTTTGGGATGACTTCATTTGTCAGGTGAAAGGAGAGCAGAATGAACTAAAGAGTGTCATCTCTAAAGGTAAATAGTTCAGAGCAGAAACATGACCAATGCTGCAGATGGTTCTCTAATGGAAGCTTTCCTTTTATAAAGTTTTTTACACCTAAAGAGTTTGTTTTTCTCCTTCTCAGCTGCCCAACCAACAGGTGGCATCACAGCTGAGAAACTTTTTAGCATGATGAAGGACCAGACCATCTCACTTATTGTGATGGATGCACGCAGCCATAGAGACTACGAGGAGTCTCATATTCAGGTCCCAGCTGTAACCTGTATCAGTGTGCCAGAGGAGGCCATCAGCCCGGGGTGAGACACTCAACTGTTTACTTTATTTATAAAGCTACAAAAAAGTTATTTATTTGGGAACCGATAACGAATTTATTAAAAAATATTAAACTAAATCTAATTATACAAATTAAAAACTCCAACTTGATCCTGTTATAACTCACAGCTGTCAAATTCAGATTATAATACCAACTAGTTGAATAACTAACTGTAAAGATGTTTTTTTCTATCGAGATTAGCATTTGTTATATTGGTTTAACCTTTTGAATATTGAATATGTAGATTTTGTAATGATGAGATATACATTTATTTATGGGTTTTTTTCTTCAGAGAACCTGTTTATATATTTTAGATATTTATTAATTTTCTTTTCGGTATTAAAAGTAATCTATAAATATATTAATATTTTTTTATAATTAGATATCATTATGGAGGACTAAAGCAAAAACATGAAATTACTCAAATAATATTTAAGTATGGTGTTCATAAATGAAAATGTTAAACAAACAGTGTGATTACTGTGGTGACAGAACCACCATGGTCTAAGCCAGGGGTACACCAACTGGCAGACTCCGGTCCAGACCCCGTGAAGCCTTTATCTAAACTGCTGCATGTTTTAATGCGGTAAAACGAATCTATCATTGTTCCGCTCAAACAACACTTTTAATCAGGCACAGCTTTGACAGCCCAGCTGTGGCTCTTCAGGCGCTCTCCACAACCTATTCCAATCATGTTAGACCCGTGATTTGTTCGCACTCTAAGAGAAGACAGAAGCTAGCCGTTAAATCTCAAAACATTTTGAGGTTGCTTGTTTAAAAATTCATGGAGGTGGAACATAAGAACGGGGTGTTTGAAGACGAGTGGGCGGACAAATGTGCATTTGTTCCCCCTAGAAAAAGCTACAGGACCGATCTGTTTAACCTGCTGTGAGTCCGTGGCAATTGTCAAAAAATTATAACATTAAACACCACCATGTTTCCAAGCAGAAAAAGTTTGAGTAAACATTTACACTGAAGGATTTGAGGTAAAAACCATGAAAATAAGCAAACTCAGACTTCTGTTAAATGAATCCTGTTTTCTGAGCCGTAAACTTGTACATTTTTTCTACTACTTTGTGCTGCAACTGGATTCAGTTAAAGTAAAAGAAAAATCTAACGAACCAAGGTTGTATTTTATAAGTTGCTTTCAAAGAGGACTTTCAGTATTTATGTCTTTACTGTTCTATTTTGCAAATGATACAATTTTTTTTCTTAATAAGAATGCTCAATATTTAAGAAAATTGTTCTTTAAATATCAGGAAGTGAAGTATTTTTTATTTTTTTAGATATATGTAAAACATTATTTAGAAATATTGTGTAACTAAGAAAAGCACCAAAAATCGTAATAAAATGTTGAAGTTGCCTCAGTAGTTTTACATATATTCCAATACATCCATTGCTTAAGGACCCTATAGAGGGAGGAGGTTGAGGTATCGGACCCTCCTGAAATCTAGTTGAATACCCCTGGTCTAAACCATCGGCCCACCATGGAAATCCCTGTAATGCCCATCTGCCATTGATTCAACAGTCATAAACTTTAACATTTGCATTGTCTGCCTCTCTTGAGTATTTGACACAAATCACTCAAAACTGTTGATCTCCAGCCGCTGTCCAGAGGGAACCAATCCATTCCAAAGGTTTTGCGAACTGATATAATAGGACCATGTATAGTTTGATTTCTGTTCTATCTTTCTTTTCTTTTTTGTATTTAACTTTTTTTTTTCTTTCGGTCTGACGTCTTAACCTGTTTTTTTTTTTCCCCAAAAAAACTTTTCAGAATCACTGTGAATCAGATTGAGGCAAAGTTGCCCGACGGATCCAAAGATCACTGGAAGAGGCGAGGTTTGGTGGATTATGTGGTCCTGCTGGACTGGTTTAATTCTGCCTCTGACCTTAAGTTAGGCACCACCTTGCAAAGTCTAAAAGATGCCATTTATAAGGTAAGTATGTCTTTGCTGCATTGTGTGTCTGTCATTTATGCATGAAACAGAAAAAGTTTCAGATTAATACCAGTGTTTTTATAAACACTTTACAGTGGGACAGCCTAACCATTATGCGTAGTGAGCCACTGATACTGGAGGGGGGCTATGAGAACTGGCTGCTGTTTTACCCAATGTACACGACCAACGCTAAAGTCCGACCCCCGAGGCAAACTATTACCAACAGCCTTCCTCAGTGTGAGTATAACCCGCCCATGTGTGAATCTGCTTTTACAAATAATAAGTTAAATAAGCTTTACTCTAACATTTCCACCTGTTGGTTTAGTGTATTGTCCATAACTTACTGTTTTGAAAACAGGCATTTAAAGAAATTAGCAGAATTGAGTGTTAATTCTAAAGAATCTTTAAATATTAAATCTATATATGAGAGGCTTGTGTATGTGTGTTTTTTAATTGGTTTAACTGCTTCTTCTGATGTCTCTAGCATTTTGTAAAATCTCACATGAAAAATCTTGTAGTAATTCTTGATTCTGGCCTTTAGAAACAGATTAGTTTTGTCATAAAAAGATTTTTTAAATTGAGAATTTTGCCCAAAGTGAATAAATTTTAATGTGGGATTCATGCTTTCATTACTTCTCAACTTGATAACTGCTGTTTTTTGTATGTTGGTGTTGGCCAGGCCAGCCTGTCATGGCTGCAGCTGGTTCAGATCACAGCAGCTTGTCTTTTATCACAAACAAAAAAGCCTGGACATATCTCACCAGTGCTTGTTTGTCTTTGTTGGTTCCTTGTATTCTTTAATTTGATTTGAAGGTTTTATTGTTGACCTATAAGGCTCTAAATGGGAAGGCAACAGCATATTTGTCTGGTCTCTTGCAGTCTTATTTGCCCCCTCGTGGCTCTAATGTCCAGTTGTGTGTAGACAGGCTTCAACTTTGAGTTATGGATTATGTTTTAAGAGCCAACATAAAAAACACAATCTCTGGGATTTCTTACAGCATGAAATTCTTTTCCTCCCATTATGTATAGTATTTGTGTTTGTTGAATTAGCAATATTGTTTTCATGTGTGTGCAGCACTTTGGCTGATGCCAGTTGTTATTAAATGTACTGTGTTAGTAATCTTGAATTGCTACTGATCAGAGATCAGATCAATAGGATTATGAAGCAAAGAAAACACCGGAACTTCTTTGGACCACCAGTAATAAATAAAGGTGGTGATATTCAGGCATCACTTTGTAGAGATCATGACTCAAGACCATGGTCTTGAG